TATATAAATATCTTTTTTGTATATGGTCAAAGGATCAATGAAAAGAATTCATTATTTGTAAATACAATATAGATTACTAGTTAACCTGAAAACAAAATTTTTTTATGGATTATCAAAAAACAAAAAGCAAAAATTCAATAAATAAAAAATTTATATTTTGATACAAAATAAAAATATTTTATTAAGTTGAATTATATTGTTAAGCAACAATTAATAAAATCTGAGATTGAATAATGCAAGTTCTAAAATAATGAATCTTAAGTTGAAAATGATAAAGAAATAAATGATATATTTGAAAATTATTTAGCTTAAAAATATGAATTTTTATTAAATTTCAACAAATTTTTAAATAGTTATTTTATATGGATTTTATTGTAGATTATGAATTATATAATTTAATTTAATTTATCAAATAGTATAATAGATATATTGCTAAAATTTATAAAATTGATAGTAAAGAATTTTAGCTCTTTTATAAATCTTTGCATATTACTAATAATATACTTGAATTATTAGATCAGTTCATTAGTTTTGTGGTATGTCAAAGATGTCACAAATTATATAAACAGGATAATGTTTTTAATTTTCAAAAAAATAATTAGCTATTGATTATTAAGTATATTTATATTGAATTTCCTAATTTAACAATAAAATAAAAAAAAACTTGTGATTTTCTATTATCTACACAATTAGAATTATTAAATAAAAATATAATTAATCAATCAAACTTAGTTTTTTCATATTCTACTATTCAATATTAATTGTTACAAATATATTAAAATTTGAATATACAAACTAATATTCTCTCTCCTCGATGATCCTCTAACTATATACAAAAAAGATACATGAAAAAGCTTTCTAGCTTTTCTGCTAACAATAGTCTTACCACTTTCCTTAAACCATCCTGAAAAGTCTTTCAGAAGTTCCTCTTATCCTTCTTTTTTTGTCTATACTCTTTTCAAACAAAAACTTGACTTTAGTAACCTGAATAATCATGAATACACCTTTTTTACCCATGGCAAGAAAGTTCTGAAAAGAAGAAGAACTAACACTCTACTACTTATCTATTTTATAGAGAAACATCATAGAGTCTATGTTGATGATAAGAGAGCTATCATAAATGCACTACATCCACTCTCTTTATCATAATATTAACTCTAATAATGTTCTTTCTTGATTATTTCTCTAGGAATTTTGTCTACTTCAGTTTGACCCTGAATTTCAAGTAATACAAAGTTTCTCATGATTTAATTGGTCTAGCAGAATCACGTCAGTACAAGAATGTAAACAAGCTTTCATTGGTCACTCCACATATAAAGATAGGTCCTTAAAGAGGGAGGCAAGAACAAAAGTCAAATGTCTCTCACTAGGAAACATTAAAAATTTTAAATTAATAACTATTAAAAAACTACTCACAATTGTTCTCTATTATCCAAATCATTGATTTATAACATTTCCTGATTTTTGTTCCTATTAAAGTGAAGAGCTATGAATTTTGTCCCTCAAAAAGAGACATAAGTGATCTGCAAAATTTTATATACTAAATACTTTAGGGACCCATCATTATTCACGTATCTGAATGTAATTTCTCAGCTCTATAAGAACCTGGGATTCACTATAAGTCATAAGAGGTTGGTGTAGGTAGATACAAGACACTACTTACTACTATGTCTTTGGCTCTCATCAGGGAAAAGGAAGAAACATATGGCTGTAGACTAGTTGGTTTAATTCTTAGGATACAGAGACCTAGCAAATGTTTCTCAACTTTACAGCATCAGGATAAAAAGAACTCGTGGCAAGGTAGAACATACTGTATTATATTGACCTATATAGTTATATATATGCTACTACCCTCAATCCTTTATTATCCAGAGATAGAATTCCTCTTATCTTGGAAGATATAACAATCACCCAACCACACCAAGAGAAGCTTTCTTCCATCAATCCATCCATTAAATTGACTGCACTGATGATAGTCCTAAAGAATTCCTCCTTCCTGTTCAGTGAGAGTAGTTCACTCCCATATATAGTTGGAATCTGACTAGAGAATAATTTTACCAAAAGGACATGGAAGAGTTTCCCGCAGTACTGAGACAATCTTAGGTAAAGTTAAATTGAGTGGCACCAGTACTTGATTTGAGAGTTTACAACACCATCTGAAATAACCAACAAGTTGACATATAGATATTGCTGGAAGTTATCGCCATATAACATGGGGTATCACACCAATACCATCACTCCGAGTGCATTAACGATAAGCACATCCAGTAGAAATATCAAACACTATGGACTCAAGCAAAAGTTTCTTCAGTCAATCAGCTATAAGTTTTTTTTTGAACTTACAAATAGTGGTGGTAGTATTTGAAAACTAAGGAACACACATATATTGATCATAGCTTTCCCTTTCACACTGCTAGTTTAGGTCTTCGAATATATTGTAATTAGTATTAACTATTTTTTAGGGGGTTTTATAGTTAATTAGTCCATTGGAACCAACTTCTTACATATGATCATAATTGTTAACACATCCTCCTCGTTTCTTTTTTTTACCTTTCCCAGAGGATGAAACACTTATTTCGTTTTTGAGTCATACATATTACTTTTTTTATTTTGAATATTTATAGTTTTCTATGTAATTTTATACTTGCTTCTTGCATATACTACCATGCTATCTGCGCAAAAAAAGAAATCCCCGGGGCCTGGCCCTAAAATAATAAATGAAGCAACCAGGCTCTTCTCTGGTTTAGCGGACCTTGATTTTGAGCCTGGTTATGGTAACCATGTATATTTTCAATATTTGTCTAATAATAAAAATGATATCTCTCTTCTAGGTACCTATCATCCTGAAGAGATTTTTGATAAATATATAGTTCGAGTGTCAGGAAAGGGTTTTACAGTAGTCGATCATCCATCCGAAGTTTATGGATTACCCGATACTCATGAGTGCATTGATGGAAATTTGCCTCTTCGCCTGGTTCTTGATATTGACGCAAGGCAAAAGCCCGATCCTATGAACCCTGAACTCCCTTCCTTAGATGGATATAAAATTTCTCGAGAAGATTTATTATCCAGAATCTTAATTGCCTGCGCCGATATTATATACTCTGACTTAAAACATTTCATAATTTTAAATGCTTTTACCTTGTCCAGTTCGTCTAATATTGATAAATGCAGTTGGCATATTGTGTACTCATATGCCCGGTTTATTGACTATAGGGACCTTAGGGGTTTTGTAGAAAAAGTTGCTGATAGCGTTGGAAAACCATACTCCGAATTCATTGATCTTGGGCTTTACAAATCACGTTTTAGTCTTCGGCTCCTTGGATCGGCAAAGGAAGATAGAGTTAAAAGACCTGCGATTTCTTCAGTTAAACAAGGATATCTCAAGCTAGAAGATTATTTAGTTCAACCTAAATCTAATTATTCTGAAATCTGGCCTCGAACTTTTTCTCCTGAGAAGCCAGAAAGCTGATGTACTCATCTCATCCTTAATCTGATAGGGAACGGTTTTCAAAGTCACATGACACTGATGATCACTAATATATTTTTTTACTTGATCTATGATCTATGACATTTTGGATTTGTGCATTAGTTAGTTTCGAAATCTCAGTTGCGCTATATGAGACCAACTTGATTTTGTCTATCCCAACTCCATTTTTTCAAAATAACGTGAGGTGTTTTCTAGCCCTAAGAGTTTTCTTGCGCAAGTGTATCATCTGCATCCCAATCTAAGCCCGTTCATTCCTATTTTCGCAACAAGATATTGGATCAATATCCTAATCTACTGTATATAGAGAATGTAGTATTGAAAATTTCGACTATTATGGGATTACTGATGAGACAACATGCGGGGACTACATCTGCCCATTAGGTCATGATGATGAAGAAATAGAAGGTATGTATAATACCGGATCTTACTTTATTAAATGTGAACAGCGTGAAATTGAGATAGTTGCATAGTCTCATTGCTTTACAATAGTCTGGGAATTTTAATCTTTTTTTTTTCGAATGATGAGAAAAGGGATTTAAATTGTTTGCAGTCATATAAAAAGGAAAATGACTGAGTCTGACAAAATACTAACCCACGAATATCTAGCCTGGCATGCCAAATTAAGTAGATTACCAAGCGTTTTGACGGATAAGATTCATTCCAAATTATACAAAAGATATAAAAAAACAAACTATAAATTCAGAGCCAGAAAAAGGGCCCATCACCTTCGAAGCCAGACCCGATCCAGAATTAATTATCAAATCCGTCTTAGAGCACTTCCCATACTTGAAATTCGGAAATAGTTTCAGGGGGATTGATAATTATGATTTTACAACACCTCAGCCGTGGAGCTCACCATGTCCTATTTGCAATGGAAAACATGGAAATTACGGATTACATGGCGAATGGTATAAAAATGGAACGGAATATTGTCTTACTTGCTTCACTTCAAGCAATAAATTCAAGTTCGCAATTGTAGCATAGAAACTTTATCATATACAGTAGACCAGTCTTGCAACTTGTATTTATTTTTATCACTCGCATATATTAATTAATAAAGTATCTTCACACTCATCACCTGATAATCGGTTTGATTTTTCTGATGTCACAAGTGCGCAGTAGAAATTGGCGCAACAAAAAAATGTGATCATATATATACGTGTTCTACGTGACTGGCGTAAATATCACGTAATTTTTTCCCTCGATTTGTAAAACCCAGAGCTATTCTACAGAGTTACAGATTTGCTATAAAAATGAAGATTTCGAAAAAAATTCTTAATCAATTTAAGATTTCCCGGTTGTCATATGCTGGTGAAATTCAGTGTAAATCCTCCAAGTCTCGAGACTTTTTTGAGGTACCGAAGAATGACGTGTCCAGATGAGCAACTTAAGAAAGATGCTGAGCATTTGAATTACATTAAAGACCTTGAAACAATCTGCGAATTTTATACATATAAAAAATATAGAAAAGCGCGTGATGATTATAAGGTAATATAATTTATTTATTTATTTAGCTTTTTGATGAAGGCAGAGCTAAGGATACATCTTCAACTACTGTTGCGGGTTCCGAACTTGCAATGGGAACGGTTTCGACTCCGTTGACGAGCATACGATCCTGATCTGAGTGGTATGGACGCTTGCGTTCTCCTCTGGGGGAGCCTCCACGGTTCAATGTCTGCACTTCGGCTCTGTCCGGATCCTAGATGCTCCAGAGGACCAGAGCGAGCGTTGTATCTGTGACTCTGTGTCTGTGAGACAACACATCTTCAACTACTGTTGCGGGTTCCGAACTTGCAATGGGAACGGTTTTGACTCCGTTGACGAGCATACAATCCCGATATGGGAAGTATGGACACTTGCGTTTTCCTCTGGGGGAGCCTCCACAGTTCAATGTCTGCACCTCGGCTCTGTCCTGGGTCCTAGATGCTCCAGAGGACTAGAGCTAGTGTTGTGTTTAATCATCACCTTCGTCTTTCCTAAGATTCTTACAAATCGTATTTGTAATATTGTTATTGTTATTAAAATTTATATAATTCTTATTCTTTGGGAAAACATCAGCATGAGACGAAGTCTGATTCCATCGAAAGATTCTGGGAAGAGCAGACCGAACTAAAACGGATTAGGATACTAGAGGTTGTTCTCTGTCCAAGTTGCATTCAAAGCACGTAATAAGCTATTTATAGTGACTGTCTTTTTTAGTTGAAAGGTGCCGGTGAAATGCTGAAGCTCGGAAATGATCATCTCACGAAAAGTGCGGTTGTTTCCCAAGAACTGCAATTGGGTATCCTCAGCCATAGAGTTAGAGCTACGTCAAAAAAGGAAGAAGAAAGTGAACTTGTAGGTCTTTAGCTATTTCAATTATACAATTAAAAGATTCCTCTTTTTAACCATGAATATATTGTTTTAATGACTTGCTTAGGAGGGAGAAGCTTCTTCTTCAACACATATACAAAGGAAAAGACCGGCTGAGGAATCCTTTCCCACAATAATCACTCCTCCTCCAAATCTTCGGGATCGCACTCCCGTTCAACATCCTCGTGTACAAAGTCAGTCTAATACAGGGGATGACGATTTTGATGATTACAACGAAAGCGAGGAAGAAGAGGAAGTCAATGAAAACGAAGAGACATCAACCGAAGTTCAACTCATTATTTCAAAGATGGAAAATGTGAACTGTCGTCTTTTCAAATATCGTATCGTCAACATTTCCGAAAAAGTTTAGTTGACCCAGTAAATACCGTTTTTTCTAATGACGATAAAAAAAGAATGAGAAAATTCTGGGAGGAAGTATGTATCATTATATTAACTGTCACGTCGGTTTTAGATTAATAATTTTGCATGTTTTTTCAGATGGAGCCATCTGCTGAAGAAAAACAGAATACGGTGCGTCGATCAAAATGGGAAGAAGCATCAAACCTCTAGTCAATAAGTATGCTCTTGCTATTGAAGTGAAGGCGGAAACTATTTTTGATGATAATGTTCAGTCATCATCAATAAAGGATATTTTCGAATTGCCATTTTAAGATGAGTTTGATTTCAAAAAACATTATGAGTATTTATGGGCGCAGGGATGTCTATCGGCGATTGTAAGCATACTGTATATCTTATTGCTTAGTATTATAGAACACAATCCATTAATTCTCATGTTTCACTTTAGCATATGCATGTTCAACTCTCCTTTTAATATACTTCGCGACGCGAACACACTGGAGATCGCTTATAGGGATGCATTTGTTAACCCTCTGATTCCGAAAGCATTTGATGGTTTGAACGACAAAATCAGATTCCAAATGTATGTTATTATATTGCGTTTGGTTTCTTTTGTACCATATATGATAAACTCTTAATTTAGAGAGAAAATTACGTAAAGAACAACGAAATGAAACAAAAAGCAAAATCCTCGAGTAAATTCTGGGTCAAAGCATGACGGAATCCTAAAAATTTACATGAACGCGAGTGAAATGGAGATTGGGTTTATGGAAGTTGTCGGAAACGCTATGGCTGAGGATATTACCGGATATCACGGAGATATGAAGAAATTGTTTAAAGGTTTGTAATTTTCAGATATTCGTGTCTTGAGGACCTTATGCAGAAAGCTCATGGAATCCGTTATTTTTGTAGTAATGCAGGTTTCGATATTTTATCAACGTCGGCACCATCTAATACGTGGTGCATCAGAAGATCAACTCCTATGCATTCAAAGTTTCGGTTTACTTGTTTACCGTATGTAATGTTTGTGTTGTGTTAGTTACTGATTTAATTAAATAAATTAATATTTTGTCTTGTCATTTTAGAACGCGAAACGACTATATACACTATGCACAGAGTTAAAGGAGGGTTGCATGTCGTTGACATTCTTACCAATTTCACGATCCCAGATAACAGGGATCAAGCGTACGTGATAGATGAAATCATAGAGAAAGCATATTTATTTAAAGTATGAACCCCAGTAATTGCTTTTTATAGCATGATTGCTGATCTAACTTTATATTTGAAATTATAGAGTCGAGTTATGGACTACTATATTAAGTTGCAAGAAGTATCGCGGAAAGTGCAGGAATATTTACCATCTGACGAAAGCCCTTTAGAAGCGTCACCATCCAGAAGGAAATCGGTAAACAGTAACGTAGACAAGGGAATGTTCACTCACAATCGAAGTTGATATCTTTTTTATCTTCTATTAAGTGAGAAACATATATAAATGGGAAATAATGCGTTTAATTTACGAATGTTCACGATTAATATATAAAGTTCACTACTTCACTATTCCCTTTTGCATATAGAAACCTAATATTATGTCATAATTTGAAAAAAATAAAACACTAGTACATTGATTAGTTAAATAATAAATGTAATTGTTCATTAAATATTATTTGATTTGGAATTTTATCACGTACAGTATAATATTCTTCCACAATATATGCTATGCGCAGTAATACGTCATTGAAATTAAATGACGTTCTTCTATTGGTTAGAAGTGAGAATCGGTCTGGATATATGCAAATCCAAGTACAAGTTCGAAAGTAAAATTAAACTTGATTACTACTATTGCATAAGTAAAAAAATAAATATCATCAATATTCTTAGCAGGAAGTGGCAATTTCGGCTGAGTACTTAACAATACAGCTCAACAATCTTGTCTATATATTCGCTCTTTTATGTATTATTGATATCATCAAGTAGATCGATATCTTTTAACAATTTTTTCGTTTGCTTATAAAGATTTTGCCATTGTACATGAAATTTATTTCGTAAAACAGAAGACTTAATAAGACAGGGAAGAATTCTTGTAAGATTATATATATGGGATTTGATTATTGCATGAATGTTTGCAATTTCTTCTCCTACTGTAATCCAATAATAACGCGGAGTATAGAGAATTGTATGAATACGGGTTATTTCTTGTTCACTACAATCTAGCCGATTTTTGATAAAATTAAGATCTTCACGAAATTCCCTTTCTTTTTGCTTTAAAATAACTCGAAATGCTTCAGAATTCCATTGATGATTCACAGTAAGACAGGAATAGTGTTGTTAATCGGTTTGGTTTTGCCATGCCTGGCCTCAGTCACTAGGGAAGCCAAGCCAAGTTCTCGCGCCGATTAACAACACTAGACAGGAATATAGTATATCTTCAATCTTGAGATTACTAAAAATTAATTCAAGCAGTTCGGAACAGACAAGTGGGCCAGGCCCCGGGATTTCTTTTTTTGCGCAGATAGCATGGTAGTATATGCAAGAAGCAAGTATAAAATTACATAGAAAACTGTAAATCTTCAAAATAAAAAAAGTAATATGTGTGACTCAAAAACGAAATAAAAAAGTATGCGCCATTCTGGCCTCTAATTAGATTACTAGCATGAATATACAAAAAATATATAAAATAGTACTCCAAAGCAATCGATGCAAAGATACCCTGAAGTAGAAACTATACAGGAACAGGGTCTAGAAGCCAAAAGCGTGGAAAATTTAGGTGACCCAGATGCGCAGAATTATATATAGGAAAGAGAGAGATAAGTTTGGCGCATCCGGGTCACCATGTGATAGGCAGGAAAGAAGTCAGGAAGGCAGAAAGGTTCAGGAGAATATACGAAAAAAGGGTATGAAAGCAATATAGCCTGAACCAATTCGACACTCATAAATTCGGCACTTCGTGCCTCATCCTCGGCAATCAAAAGGGTTATGAAAGGCAGGATTGCACCTCTAGGTCACCAATTCGGCACTTCGTGCCTCATCCCTGGCAAACAAAAAGTGAGGGAATGGATTGTGAAATGTCTTCGGCAAATAGATAGATTGCAAATTCGGCACTTTGTGCCTCATCCGGCAATCAAATAGGCATCTCCAAATCTCCGACCAACTGATACACCAGATCGAATCCTGAATATCCCTTGAAAGTTGCAAGAAGGTTGCGAGAAAGTGACGGGGAAGTGCCTGGAACTGGCGAGGAACTGGATCACATGATTAACGCAGTAAGGCGCAGTAAATGTATTCCATATTTTTTCCAAAACTTTGAGATGCCATAACTCGGCATCCAGGCATCCTATTCATGCGATCTTAGCATCATTGGAAAGCTCTCAACGCCTTCATCAGAACGAGCTCAAAACCGCACGAATCCAATCACAGGAAGCCAAGATACTCCGCTCTAAAGATTAGGTCAAAAATATAACATAATGCCGGCCAAAATCTGATCGCAAATTTACTGTGCCACCCGATCACAACATGATTATAAGCAATCAATGTCGGCCTAGCATCTTGGCCATAAAAAGTCCACAGAGCAATGAAAACAGTGAATAGCTAGAAGGTAATAAAAAGGCTACAGAGTAATAAAAACAAGTATAGCAATAAAGCAATAAAAAGGTCACAGAACACTGAAAACAGTAACTAGGTAACAGTTTACTCATAACTAGATAACAGTTTATTCATAACTAATTAACATTATAGTACAACTGGTTATCACTCTTGAGTGATAACCAGTACCTTGATTCAAAAGTAAATTAGATAACTCTAATTGGTATAGAAATGTCAAGAGCCATATTCTCAAAATTAGAATTAAGTGATAAGGAAATTAATGATATTCTGGTTAAGAGAAACTATAACTTAGTATGACTTTTGGATATAAATAAAATATATACTAGTTTGATAGCCAGAACATTAAATGGCACTCAAGCAAAAGCATACTATATATCTAAAGATCCCTTTATATTTAGAAAACAAAACTTTATAGTAGTCTGTTTTGTAATAAAAAAAAATAGAGATAATATATGCAAACAATATATTTTCTTACAAGAATTATGTATTTTTTGAAATGTCAAATACTCTACTAATTTAGAAAAGAAAAATCTAAAAGAGTAATTAAAAGCCCAAGAGCTAAACAAAAATATAGAAAAATAAAAATAAATGAAAATTTGACTTCAGATACATATCAGACATTGAATCCATAAAATCTATCTCTACCTTTAATAAAAACCAGAGCCAAACAAATTGAAAATAAATTAGATATCACTATAATAGGAGGATAAAACAAAAGACTAACAGATCCAGTAGATATTTCACAATAGAAAGCAATAGGTAACCAATAAATTAAAGATATAATTACTATAGAAATATAAGAGACAAGTCAGAATCAAAAGTAGAAGTTTCATAAGATCCCCTAAATTGTATTTTAGCAAATCTTGAGAAATTAAATAATAGAATAGATAGATTAAAAGAACAATCAACTTTCAAAAGACCTAAACATGACAACAAAGAAGTAAATTGCTTCTAAGGTACATCAATTTTTTATAACAATTATGAGGAGCAAGAGCCTAATTTCTTCTTAACAATCATAATGAAAAAAGGAAAAAAATAATCAAATGAGTATAATAATATAATAGTATATAATAATAATTTAGATATAATATTATTTTTACATAAGGAACAATAAATATTTTTAAATAGAAAAGTTCAAAATAAAATAATAGAAACAAATAACAAAGAAAATACAATTTCTAATAAAGTGGTAAAAATAGATATACATAATATCAGAGATATTATAGATAAGACAAATTAATTGAGTCTTATTGAGAAAATACAAGAATAAAAAATAGGTATACTAGGATTATATGAAACAAAATTAACTCAAACCAATGTAGAATAGATCTTTAACAATCAAAAGACTTGCAAGCATTTCTATAGTATCAATAATGAAATAATATTTGAAATAGGAGTTGATCTTTTGATTATAAAAGACCTGAAAAAAAAGTAACATCTGTAAAAGCAAAAGATAGATATATAGTATAATTGCTGTCAATCTGCTTATAAAATGAAAAAAATTTTGTATTATACAAATCTGTATCCTATCAGATAAAAAAAGAAGCAAAAACATCAGGAAATTTTTTTGATAGAGATTTCTGGAGATCTTTACCTGTTAAAATTTTTCAAAA